TGGACCATAAGGAACGCGGACGCTCGACGGGTTAAAAAGGTAGGATTTGTGATAGGGTAGATGACTATTTTTTTATCTTAATGTCCGTCTGGTAGATTATTTAAAAACATTTGACACGTATTTTTTATTTTCTTACGGAAACGAATAGTTTCAAAGATATATTGATTTGAAATATCGCATCACATCACTTTTGTGTACGATTTATACTCTAAAATAACGTAGTTACCTGAACTCCTAAAGTTTGATTCGTTTTATCTAAGTATTGTTTTCTTAAATGACAAAATAAAAAATACGTGTCTAATATTTTTTCATCACCTAACTGACGGACTGATTAGATTTTTTATTTTCATTCACTGTCATCATCCCTATTATAAGAGAAATAGATCTTAATTTTTTTGTTTAACACCTACAAACGTTATAAATAAAACGTAAAGAATTGTTCTGTGATAGGTACCTCTAGAAAAGCTTTAATTAAATTATAATAAGGTGTAGCCCCACTGTTCATAACAAACTTCATACATACACAACCAGCAGTAGTTTGTAGAAGAAACTCTTACTTACATTATGTTAACGTACCTTAATATTAACTTTGTTATCGATCCTAACCGGAGAGTTTCAATGTCAGAATATTAAATATTCTTTTTTTAAATTAGATTCTCATTTTAAATTTTTGTCTCAAATGCCATATACTTCAATGTTTTTGAAAAAAAAAAGTTTTGTTGTATCTCTATGCGAATTTATTTTAACGAAGGATATTGCATTGTATTGTATCTCAATTCAGAGATGAAACTTCACAAAAGCAATCAAAGAAATACAACTAAATAGATCCCTTGAGTATTTAAAAATGGCTTCGTATTTGTATACAAGACTCAATTAAACGGACAGGCTTGAAATCGAGCCAACAAATAAACATTTCCTTCAAATAACAAGGGTGACTGTCAGATTGGAATTTGGTCACGTTTACTCGACTGAACACTGTCGTCTTTGCTAAATCACTGCAAACTTGCCTGTCAGTCAGCGACGCGCTCCAAATTGTCTATGTCCGTCATCCCCATCTGACATAACTTCGAATAATCCGTTGATTTACGTGGGAGTGTTCAAATACAGACAAAATTGGTTTGTTATTAATAGAATCACGATTTTGGCCTATTACAGCCCACTGAATTATTGTCGCTTGGATAACGGTAATTAAGTAAATGTATCGCGTCGCACCTCTAAGTATTTGGCCCTCGTATTGACAGTTCCTGGAATGACCTGTTTGACATTATTACGATCGAAGTTCCGTTGATAAATAGGGTCTTCACGTAACGTAAGGTCATTTCGGTTTTTTCGAAGGTACGGGGAAAAGTGTATCCACTTATTTTTTGTACAATAACAATGATAATAACATTTTGTTACATCGCGTCGCATCACTAGCCTTTGGTCAGGTTTACCGAAGAATGTGAAATTGGTTCGCTCAACCCTAGAATCATGTGCTGAGTAGCAGTTATTAAAAAAAAATGCAGTTTACATTTAAAATAATGTGATTAAAAAATTGATCGCTATACATTACCTAGTCAATCCTAGGTAACAACTTACATTTTAAAATAACGTTTATGGAGTTATTATTTTTAAAATAACATTTATTGTTACAACCTACATTAATTTATAATACAAATATGAATTATTATTGTTTCCAGAGAAATGATGGGGTGTAGACATGGTAACATTTGACATCTCGAAGTTTCAATGTAACTTATTAATGTTAGAAAAAAACTGTCTTATCCAAGCCTCAGGCAAAAATAACTAGGTACTGGAAACATAAATAATAAAAACATTAACTTGATACGTAGATAATATATCATGAATATTGCTTTTAGAAATAATATCTCGTCAGGTATTTTTTGTTCATCAAAACGTGAGCATAATTTAACATCTATTGACAACACGCTTGTAAACAATAACAGAATTTGAATTCGAATAATGTACATAAATGTAGATACCTACTCAGCATTTTACAAGAGTCTGCTAACAACTAAAACTAATATTTTCTGTAACTACGAAACTATACGAAATACTACACAAAATACAAAGCACAGCATAATCACGAATTACATTGGATTTGCAACCCAAATGTGCGATTCGGTACATGAACCGCACAAAGCCTGCGTAAATATTCATCGTAATGTGGAACATTTCCAGCCCAACCTAATACACTGACCATAATTATAATGGACGTGTAAATACTTTATTGGCCACCACTAGTTGCCCATTTCAACTGTGGTGACACGATCTGATTTTATTTGTTCGAACTTTTCCTATTATTTACCATTCGATAAGGTTAATTGATTCTGTTGGCGATTTTAGTTGGCTGTTGTACTTAGTTTTGTGTGGTTTTGTGATATTAAATTTTTAACTACGCGATTACCTAATCCATTTAATAAAATCATCAGATTTTTCATTAAATTTATTTTAGTCTTTATCTTCAAGATTACATTTTGTAACGGTACTAATTAAAATCTATACAATGATGGGAATAATTTTCTTTGATTCGTTTTCTAGGTTTTCTTGCTTTTTTTCTATCCCATTTTCCTATATTTTTTAATAAAGTTTTATTTATTATAAATATGGTTTGCTTGTCAATTCATTTTCAAAAAGATTGAGTAAAAAGCCTTATAAAAATCAGAGCCACCCACAACGACGTACAATTTAGAGGCTGAAAGTAGGTGTAAACGTGGGATGACAATAAATTGTTTATTATTATTAAACATAAATCATATCCAACCCTTTAACATGGAACAGTAAAATATCTCATAACATTTATTAGCGTTTTTATTTTGCTATATTCTAAACAACTTGGACTCTAATTCTTATAGACTTAGATGTATGTATGTAGATATATTAGGTGCCTATTCATATTACATAGTCATGTATTTTTGTCTTAGACCTTAGTTAATATAAAATAGTAATTATTACAATTAATAATAGATTCGATTTGTGGAGTCATAAAACCATTAATCTTATAAGGTAGTTTAGGTAAGAAATTCAACACTTTTATCCTCTATGTTATTAATATTCAGACGTATTATGTGCATGTCTTGTGTAATAACATTAAGACTACATGTATTAAGCAAATACCCAGACACGTGTTCAAATGTTCTACTTTCTTTTATCACTTCATTCAATCTGGGATTAGTATCCAGACATCGTTACCAGTACAAAACCGAAACAGAAAAAGTCGACTCGTGTAACAATCAAATATTTATAAAGTTACTAAAAGCCTAATATAAAACAACGACCATTGAATGTACCTACCTGTAGAAATTGACCTTCAGCTTTTGAGGTTCTAGTACATTATTCAAAAACAAACTGTGAGCGGGTTCCGAATACAGAAGCTGAAATACGCAAACATCTAGGTTTACTGTGTTAATAAAATTAATATAAGAGTTTATTGAAGCTTATTTAACGTAGGTAATGTGTGAATACCGTTATTAATAAAACTACAATAGAAAAATATTAATATTCAGTATATCCATGAAATATAAAGTTCTGACAGGAACGCAAGCAGAAATGAATTTAGAAGCTTTACAGAACAAATTAAAATATAAACGAACAAATCATTTTTTAATATGGTGACATACCTACCGTGCTGCTTTTGGAAAAGCTAAAAATTTGCATTCAATTCAAGCCTTTCATCAGTAGCATGAATACTAAAGTAGTTAAACTATCAGATTTACTGACTTTTAAAAGTTAAATTGCGCTAGTGAATAAATTGGGAAGGCTCACGGCTAGATTTCCAAAACAGGCTATATGGAAGTCTAAGCGAGGTGTCACACACTGTCAAACAAAGCCATTGTTTCTCTTAATTACTTTTGAATTTCCAATTTTGCTCCAATTCTTCGTTCACCGAAGCTGAATAATAAATAGTGAGGTGCAAACTAGAAAACCCACTTCTAGTCGTATGAACTTCAAAATATCTAAGCACTTATTCCCAGAATGTGGACCACGCAATCTTTTTAGTCCATCTCATAGCATTGTATGCATTGTCGACATGAAAAGAATTTCTGCTCAGGACCGTTTGTGTGAGATTCACGTAGCCACACATAAGGGCGGTAACATTACATTTAAAATCACTCAGATATGAACATTTATCATGACTTATGAGTGGCGGTTATGACCCACAGATTCTCAAAAATTGTACTCTGTTTTTTTTGGGTGGTAGGTGTGTGAGCTACATTATTTCATCGTTGATGGAAGATCTTACACCTAATGTTTATCTATTTCAACTATATTTTCTACGTTTAGGTAACATAAAATCCATCCAATTCATTCAGATTTTTGTAGAACAAAATGGTTGATTGCTATATCCGTGGCATACTTTCAATTCTTACTTTACGAATTAATTTTACTGTATGTATAAGTAAAATTTAAAAAAAATCTCAGTAGTAGCACGGAGTCTGGAATTATGCCCGGCAATAGGCTCACCCCCTATTACATGACACTCATAAAATAAATAGTGAAAAGTGGGTGTTACATGGTACAGTGGCACAATGTGCACCTCAGTCTACCCCTTCGGGGATAATAGGCGTGATGTTATGTTATATGTATAAGTAACTTAATTTAATTTTACCATTTGTATTGTCTTTTTATCAACTAACTATTTGTAAAACTTCAATTCACTTCACTTTGCAATTAGTGTAAATGTTTTATAGAGTCATGACTGTCTCTGAGGGAGACCACCAAATGATCTAATCACTTTGGACATGCAAATATTAATTAGGGCAAGGAGGTTTCTACACAGGGTGTACCGTACTTTATTTAATGTATTGATTCAGAGCTACGTATACTGCTAGCTAGCTCTATATAGTTCGTATTTGACAATATTACATGTATAAAAAGTTACTGAGTATAATATTATATACCTTTAAACTATACAGGGGGCTTATTACTTACTAGAACGTGATTTCAGAAGGAAAGTTTCGTTTATTTTCAAAATTTTGACATTTTGTTTTTGTCCCCAGAGCAAAGATTACGGGCAAAGAAGTTCTGCATCAGCATTATCTCGTTTCTCCAGAATACGACGACTGTCCAGACCAGCACATCGGATTATAAATCCTGATGAAGGTACGTAATGATCACAAATGTCATCTAAAGCGCAATCTATATATATAAAAATTAAACCCGTTTCCCGTTGTTACGCCATAACTTGAGAACGGCTAAACCGATTTGGGTTATTTTTTTGTTGTGTTTGTTATTGTCAGGAAAAAAATCCTGAAAATCTTATGGGAACGGGAGAAAACGGGATTGCGCGTACGAAGCCATGGGCAGAAGCTAGTTTAATAATAAAAAAATATTTTGAAGGCTGGTAGCATTGCTCTATTGCATGGTCACCGTTTATTTGGTTTAGGGACATTTTCATAATATGTATTTAAACTGCCGTTAACTTTAAACTGATTTACACTAGGATTTTCTCCTGTGTAGTGGGTGCGTTTAAAAACATGACATGTAAGTCACATACACATGAGACCCAGACCCAAAACAACAATTTATGGATCACACAAAGAGTTGTTTCATGCGGAAATCGAAGCCGTTACACGTTGCGTGGCGGTTGCCCAGCCACCGCGTCGACCGTGCAGTCTCTTATGAAAAAGACCCTTAAAGATATTAAATTAAAACTTGTACTCCCTTGAAAGTTAAACAGTTAACATATCACCCACGCTATTTAACAAGAAGGCCTTTCACAATCAGTTTGGACAGCTATCCCAGTGAATTCCCAAATTGAAAAAGCCCACTCCATATCGCCTGACTATCTGAACAAAGCAATGAAACAAGGTCTGTTGAATATGTTATTCAACCTTCTGGATACCATTCGCTTAAGGTTATTAAAACAATAGTTTTAAGGTCTCTCTCATTTTCTAATTTGTTAAAAGTCAAAGTATGTTGATTTCTTTCGTTTCATTCTATTCAATACTAGCTGTGCCCACGATTTCTTCTGCATGGAATAGTGATTTTCAGCTCCTTCCCCGTAGGTGATAGCGTGAAGATATGTAGCCCATATGTTGTACCCAACTGTTAGTAATGTTCATGCAAAATTTGAAGTACATGCATATAGTACTTTTTGAGTTTGGCCTAGAAATACATACAGATAAACAGACAAAAATTATAGAAATCATATTTTTGGCTTCGACGGTTTCATTGGCCGAATGGTCGCAAGTGCGACTGCGACTGGCAAGGGGTCTCGGGCTCGATTCTCGGGTCATACATAACATCACGCCTTTTATCCCCAAAAGGGGAGGCAGAGGTGTACATTATGCCACTACAATATAACACCCACTTTTCACTATTTATGTTATGAGTCCTATGTAATTTGGAGTGATTGCCATATACCGGGCATATTTCCAGACACCGTGCTACTACTGAGATTTCTAAAAACCCAGTTATACTTTGCCCGACCCAGCAATCGAACCAACCCGAGACCCTTTACCTGGCAGTCGCACTTTTTTATTTTTCTAATTACAGAAATTTTTAATATTCCTAAAAAAGAAATATTTTATTTTAACAACTACTATGACTAAAATGTGTAGTTACTAGGAAATAAAGTAAACTTAAATTTCCCGAAATACATTCCCGTGTCAGCCGTTTGTAATGTATTCCATTTCAACCTTTCATTCGTGAATAATTTCGTTCACATTTCCAAGGTCAATTTTACACAACCTCGCAATTAACTTTGAAGTTAACTTACTCGTAATGTGATTTCAAAAAGTTAATTGAACCATTTTCTTGTTATAAAAAAATAATGGAGTGTTGTACTTATACACCTTCATTTTTTGTTTCAATCTTAAGTTTAATCTCTGTATGACGACAAAACTTACCGTTGGTATTGTTTCAAAAAAGGTCTCTTGAGTGTAAGATCTGTGTTAGAAAATAGTTATTAATAATAGAAAGTTCAATTAAATTATATATAATTTGTTGACCGAGTGGTCGCCAGTACGACTGCTTTAAAAAAAATCTCAATAGTAGCACGGAGTTTGGAATTGTGCCTGGCAATAGGCTCACGCTCAATTACATGGGACTTTTAACATAAATAGTGAAAAGTGGGTGTTACATTGTACATGTGGACCTCTGCCTACCCCTTTGGGGATAAAAGGCTTGATGTACAGTTATATAACAATATTGTCTTTCTTTACCCTTAATAATCAATTTTGTTAAAGAAGACAATCATTTTTTTATTTTCGCAGATTGTTTCCTAGTGACGTCAGAAGAAGGTGAATTGTTTTATAAGGCGCCATCAGATGATCCAGTCGTGTGTGGTATCTACATTATAGCCGAACCTGATAAACGGATCGAGGTCATTTTCAATTACCTCGACGTGCCCTGCGAAAATGGTGGTTTAGTTGCGGTAAAGTACTGAAAAATGCTCTACCTTAATCCTACAACTTAAAACATTTAATCCTGCAAATAGATCATTCTCCAAATTAAATACTTTTATTACTGACTGCCTCGTTGGGCGAGTGGTCATAAGTACGACTGCCGGGCAAGGGGTCTCGGGTTCGATTCCCGGGTCAGGCAAAGTATTACTGGATTTTTTACAAATTCTCAGTAGTAGCACGGATTTTGGAATTGTGCCCGGTGTATGGGAATAGGCTCACCCCCTATTATATGGGACTCATAACATAAATAGTGAAAAGTGGGTGTTATATTGTACAGTGACATTAAGTGCCGTAATGTGCACCTCTGCCTACCCCTTCGGGAATAAAAGGCATGATGTTATGTTATACCTTCATTACTTACTTTGTAATTAAATCTGAATTTCACAAGTTATTCATCATAATCATCACTATGATCATCAGCCTGTTATGTTATTATGTCCCTTATTATAATGTAATAAAATATGTTTGGCATCGAATATTTTCGTTATCATCATCATCAAAATCTACATAACAATACAATAAGTACCTTGAGTTCATTGGATTAAAGTTTCGAATAACAGTTACCTACATGTATGTATAATGTTGAGTTCATGTACACCCCTTGACCATATTGCGTCGTAACAGTGTAAAAACATCATGCATAAAACGTGTGACGTCATAGAAGCAAGCATACTGATTATCCTTATTCTGACACTCCATGGTAATGGGGGTATTAAGTTTCAAATAAATTGCACCCCTTATTTCTTAAGGGATTTTCTTCCTTATAAGTAAATATATAAAGATTAAAGTTAATTAATATGACTCCTAAAAATAGTAAATAAGGTTTAGAATAACGTAATTCCATAACTCGGTAAATGCTAGAGTTTTATTATAACAATAAACTCGCTGACGGAAGTTTAATTGAATTTTTCGCTGCGTTATAATAACGCTGTAGACCAAGATCAGCTGTTTTTATTATTACACTTTATTTCACAAACCATTTATAACGATTTAGCGATATTTATTTTGCTTTTGAATAGATTTAAATCAGCTGTAACCTTTTTTGCTGAAAATTCGGAATTATGACTGTTTTGAAATACCTTTAAACTTGCTGTTCTTGATATCTGATAGAATTGGTCGTAAATTCATCGTAAGTAAGTCATGTTAATTTGTATGACTATTATAAGACAGTTAAATGATAAAATAACCCCTTATAACTATTGAAAAATAAATGAATATCGAACTTCTAAGTTCCATTTCTTTGTAATTACGTTATGTAATCAGACTTTTGAACAAATACATCAATTCCAGTGGGTTGACGGATGGGAGCTGAATGGCCAAGTATGGCCAGCCGACTCGTGGGACGATGGTCGAGTTGTGGAGTCCTGTGACCAGAGACCTTCAAGAAAACTGGTCTCCAGGCAAAATGCTGCTCTTGTGCAGTATCGAGTACCTGCTAGAGGAAAAGGATTCGCTGTTACTATACGGCACTTGAAGAATACTAAGCGTAAGTTGTTTATTGTTCTAATTCCAATATTTTATGGGATTTCAGATGTCAGTATAGATAGAATACATAATATGATACAAATAAGAAATACCATACTTGTCATAAATCGAATTGAACTCAGTGCTATCATGTCACTCATGATATAATAGACACTTTTATTAAACATCCCAACACAAACCAACAGTATTAGTGTTTACAGTGTTTAATAGTAGGAATTAAATTGAGCTCGTAAATGTATACAACTCTCACCATAATATCATTCATACATGTATAATTTACGACTCAACACACCTTTGATCTCATTCGCTTGTCAAAACAACATTTTAAAAAGATCTAAAGACTGTTGATGGAATTAAACACGATTACAAATCCGAGATAAGCCAAATAAGGCTACAGGGCTTAAACAAAACCAAATAGCCTTATCATTAGTATTATAAACATCGACATGCCAACGGATTACCAAACTAATGCTATTTAACTTTTGTTATCACGTTTATTCAAATGAATATATGTATTGAGATTTCACATGTTACTAGAATATTAAACTTACTGTAGAGCGAAACATTTATTAGTTTAAAAGTAAAATTGTTTTAACACTTTGTTTATAAAAGTAGCAAAATGGTGATCGCTTATCCCGAAGGTACATAGGAAAACTAATTTTAAATAACGATCTCTTTTTAGATACAAGAGCTACTTACTCCAGATTCATGTTAGCCCAGATTGTTTATATCAAACATTTGCTTAGTTTTTGCTTCTTTTTTCTAAGCTAAAAGAACAAGCAAAACAAAACTTTTACAATCATGATTTTCATTTTTCTTGTAAGTGTTACCGGGTACCTATATCTCGTTTCTGATATATGTAGGTATGACGCGGTAGTCTGCATAAGAGTGTCTATTTGATATGTGTTATAAGTAGACTGTATTGTTAAATCATGCATTATTCTAGAAACAGAAAATTACAATGCTGATAAAATTATAATCGTATCAAGACGTTAGCATTTTCTTCTAAATATTATACAGTTTTTATTATTCTTAATTACTTAAAGTACTGAAGTAGTAACGTTTACATAAAATGTTACAAAATGCAAACACTCCTTACATGTCACACAATACATCTCATGAGAAAACATAGTAATAATCTTGTATACTGACAAGCATTAAATAATCTATTTGAATACGAAAATTGTCGGGAAAACCCGTAATAAATTCTTAATTTATCAGATTACGGAAAACAATTAGAAGCGACGACTTTACTGCGACCATAGTCGGAAACTCGGAAGTTAATAAAGTTGCGCAGTTACTGTTGTAATTAACACATTAACAGCTCATAACTCAAACTGAGAATAAACTCGGTTAAATCCAGAATACAAGTCTAATGTTAATGTTAGTTTAAACCTGACCGCAGTTCGCATAAGTTTGTAGTTCAAATATGAAATGCTATTGCTGGCTTTAGAATAATTAAGCCAGCTGCAGCTGGGCACTGGAATTAAGAATTAATTATTTCTATTATTACACTTTTTTCTATGCTACCAGATAAACAGTCACATTTAACACGGTTTTATATTATATTGTTGCTTTAATTTGCTGTTTGTTTGTTGCATGCAAAAGTCATTCTTATTTGTTTGTGAATAAGAATGATGTGAAGATGTAGTTTATTTTGACTCTTGAATACATGAGTCTTAAGGAATTTGAATAAGAAATGAACGACTTGTGTTCGAGAATAGAAAACTTATTTGTTTAGAATCTGATAAAAACTTTTTGTTTCGATTGACCCTGAGTGACGTACGTTGTTCACAATTTGTCAACTTCAACAGAATCAGAACCGTAATACCTAACTCTCGATTCTCATATTTAATTTTATTACGATACACACATACATTCTTTTTATGGCAAATAAACAAGCTTATTTCCTATCGAAAATTCCCTTTCCAGTTTGCAACATATTCGTAATTTCATATACATATGCAATGGAAGCTTCAAATTAATCGAGTTTCATTGAAAGTACATTTATTGGTATGTCTTGCGCATTCCCTTATTCTTCCGTTCACATACATATTATCTGAATGTTGTAGAGAAAATCTGCCTGTCAGGTACAGATTCACGACCTGAGATTCACTTATTGAACTAGATTGTATTTGCAAGCACTTTAAAATCTTAGTAACGTCGACGAAGTAGGGTAGGAATTAGGTGTTAAGGGTTTCAATTCGATTTGAGCACCAGAATAACATACAATCGAGTTTTTCAATTAGAAAGTTTATAATTAGCTATGAGTGGCTGTCATTATAGTTCTCTTAACAAAATTTTGTAGGAACATGATTTTGAGTCGGGATGGTCTAGAATCTCCGGCCACTATGAGTACGGGTGACTCGCCGCCCGACCAGAACCAGACCCCAACGTACGGCGTGTGGCGTTCCGCGCGCCTCGAAGAGCCATCAGACCACCACAGTGGGGCCCAACAAGGCTGATATCGATATGGAGCCGCGGAGAACTTAACGGGTTGCGAGGCTTCGGCTCAAAGTACAGGTGTAGGAACGGGTGGTTTCTAGTCAGTAAAAGTTTGACACACCCACTCGTCTCACTCGAGCGGGGGTAGTCATTGGATGATTTTCTCCCCTCAAAAAAATGCCTCGTACGCCGAGTGGTCGCAGGCGCCGGGCAAGGGATCTCGGGATCGATTCCGGGTCGGGCAAAGTATTACTGGGTTTTAAAAAAAATCTCAGTAATAGCACGGAGTCTGGAATTGTGTCCGATATATGTCAATAGGCTCACCCCCTATTACATGGGACTCATAAATGTAAATATTGAAAAGTGGGTGTTACTTTGTACAGTGGCATTAAGTACCGCAATGAGCATCTCTGCCTACCCTTCGGGGATAAAAGGTGTGATGTTATATTAAGTTATGTTAAAAAAGATATATTTTTATTCTCATCCTAAACTCTGCTCAAAACACATGTAGATAATATTATTTTACTCAATTATCTCTCCTTCATTTAGCAACGGAACATTACTTCAAGCTGATTACCTCAAGTTCCCACTATTCCCAGTTGACTCATCCAACCAGACTAGATGATAACCAAATGTTTTATAGTGTATTTTCTCTTTAGCACTCAGTTTGTTTTATAGCCAACATTAATGTTATATGAAGATGAACTAGCACTAAGCATTGTGACGATAGACCACTTACAAACACGAAGCAATTGTTAAGAGCAGAACTTGTAATTATAGAATATTATTTATTTGTTTGTTTTAGTTTTGTCTGCAATTTCTTGGCATGAATGTATCACATCTGTGAGATGGTTGAATTAGAATTCGATAAAGAACATACAGTAGTTGCAACGGATGAATAACACGAAAAGTGACTTTATTATGGTTATTCAAGAATTTAAATTAACATAGCGTTGCCGTTTTACTAGTATAAAGATGCTCCCTCACCGGGAGCATTTGCGGGTAATGTAACGTTACAGATCTGAGCATTACATCAGTGAAGGAGGAGGACCGAGCATTACAATGCGCACCTTGTAATGATACAATATATAATATCTTGATACAACTTGTAACATAAATGCGCTCTACTTTCCCCAGCCCCCGTCCACTTCGTCTAACATCTTGCTATGCAATGCTCAAAATCGAATCAATATGTTACATTACACGCAAATGATCGTTATTCAGGGAGGTATAATTGTAATATAATGCTCAAAGTCGAATCTATAATGTTACATTACACGTGAATGCTCACGGTGAGGAAGCACCTTTATGCACAACAATATTATTACAGTCCGTCCATTAATAACGTTCACAAGCTCATAATATAATCACAAGCAAACTCTAGTTTCAGTAAAGTTTAGAGGTCAAAACAGGAGTTTAGTTTTGAATAAACTGTGGGGTCTAACAAAGTGGAAGGAAGTAGCCATGTTTATGACGTCAGAGTACACCTTGCAAGCTACCTTCAAAGCAAAAGTTAATTACACCACGGGGAAGAAAATTATAATTAAAATAATCTCATTCAGGAACATCGCGTAAATAGTGCTTTTCTCTTGGCATTTCATTTTATATTATGTTGACATTGACTCTAGAATTTTGTTGTATCAATTTTATTGCTACAAATGCTCTATGATTTTGAAACGTTTCAATTATAACAAGCAGTATCGAATTCTACTGTTGCTTTCCTGTAGCAGTTTTTAGTGAACACAAAAAAATCTAGATTTTATTACTACACAAAAAAAAATTCAAACATTTTCAATTCTGTATCAATTTCTTTTACAACGCTAATAAGAACACACCTATCAAATATGAATGTTCTAACGCGATATTCTAATTTGTACCTAAACAATCATGATTTACGATCGTATTTCTTTTGTTTTAGCATGCAATGTAATGCTGTTCGGTGCTGAAGGAGTGTACACACTTCGCAATCACGGTGAGACCGGCAATTGTTCCATGCTGGCTGTCTCTCCAGCGACAGTTCACGTTCTAGACCTGAACGTAGGAGTGACTATCAAGAAAGGACGCCTTCTCGAAATGGAAACTGGAACTATTCATCACGTAAGTTCAATACAAGTATGAAAAACTTTTTAGTTGACGAAGCTATGCCTCGGTAGCAACCGTTTACTTAGGACCCTCAATTTTGAAATCAAAGTTGGTTTAAGAAAAATTGTAGGTATGTTTTAGTACAAAAATTAATTGAAGTAAAATACTATTCTATGGTAGTGGTGAATGGAGATTTAAAAATAATAATATATAGTTTTTTTTTAATCTTTATTAATCTTAATTAATCTTTGTAATTGGTTTTACTGCTTGTTTTTTGTTTGACAAAGTTTAGAGTATAGACCTATAGTCTTTTCATTTATTGCCTTTTTGTATATAATAACTGTGATACAGTGTTTTACTTAATGCGGCTACAAAAAACTATCAATATACTTTTATAGTTTTATAGCTGCATTTATAGTTTTATATTTATATTTTAATATACTTTTATAGTTTTAATAAATAATGCCGTCGTTTTAATGATTAAATAAAGATTTTACACTGACGATGTAGAATTGTAAATTCGTCATGGTCTCGTGTTTCACATGGAAGGTCGTATAATACAATTTATCTTTACAGCAGCTATGTGATAAAATGTCAGGCAATAACACACGTCACTACATAATTTATGAAACAATTACTGGTCACCCGTTCTCTCACTGGCACAATGATAGACAGACGCAGTTCAGAGCAGTGTTTTAATGGAATTGAGGACAAATTTCATCACTATGGTCGTATAAATAAAAGATAAATAACTCTCAATGATACAATTGGTTACGATAATGTAATGACACATTATTTACTTTTAGAATCAGTCTAAGTTCAAATGACGAGTTAATAACTAGATATATTGATTAGTGTTTGGTGCGCGTTAGCACATGCTAACGTTCAATATACACTATATACATATATGGCCTGAATGAAATGTGCCTACATAATGTATATACATAGTTGTAAACACGCGTTACCAAACTCGTGCTTAGTGCTTACCATCTGAACTTAGCCTTATAGTAAACCTAACGTCAGACGACGTCTATTTTTTTTGCACACTGAACTCTCTAGATGTACATATTTATGTAAAGAAACAACATAATGCAATGACGCTTAACAAAATATTTATGAGTAAGCCAAGTTATTGTTTAAATAATCAAAACTGTGAGATGGCTATAAATGATACAATTTTCTCAAATTGTCTAACTATTGAATTTTAGATCCAGTTAAACTTTATTTAATGGCTTGTCAAAGCGGTTAAAGCAATTTATTTCCTTAGTCGCTTTAATTGGGCAATTTTTGTTCCTTAATATTTTGCTAAAAGGATTGTAGGCTTCCTCTATTTTGAAGTTATAGGGTTAATGAGTTTGAAAATTTATTTCAGCCACTCTTGTCGCAAATTATAATTATAATTTGTATGTACTATTATTTATTTAACATAAGTTTACACAAATATTTTCATGACACTTTTTCTTAACTAATATTGGCCTTAATTTGTTTTATGAATCTCTTTACAATATACACTGTCTGTGTTTAATAACATTTTAAGTCTACTAGACATGAAAATCCATTCATATCAAGAGCATTGTAACTGTACAAATAATAAATCTCTAAAACAACAAAATGAAATTATGATAACCTGTCACAGGTACCCTTTCCAAGCACACGATAGGCTTCTATAAAATTAATTGAAAATAATAAAGTTCATCATAATTCAGACACAGGATATTAAACCATGAATAATTAATTTAAATAGGCACTCGTAAATTACAAAATTAATAACAACAGAATTTTGTTATTTTATACTTAAAATATTATATTAATTATGCTGTTGTGCCATGTTGGACGGTTGGCAGTGTATAATATTAGATAAGGTTAAATAATATGCATATTAGGGGAGGAAAATTGTCATCAATCGTCCGTTTATTAAAGTATATTAAAAATACCAACCTTGTGGCGACGGCTAAGTAGACTACGCTTATACATACCGCTACACATTCTGTGGGTATCCCAAGAAAGGGACGGGACAATTTGACAGACAATTGAATAAGAATTTTTCAAATTGTGATCTTCACCTGCCTTCCACACCGGCAATGCTACAAGCAGAAATCTATAGTACGATATACTCGAACTCGACTAGTTTCAAGCCATGCATAGACTCATATTCATGGGTAGCATTTCGTGACCCTCGATGCGGTGACTGATAAGCTGCTGCTGACGTCAGTCGCCGCATCATAATTACGCGAATAAGCCAAAAATCATAATAATTTATTTAGTATGTCTCACGAAAGTTACAATACAATTATAAATAAATAAGAAGATAAATGTGTTTCACAATGAACAGAAAATAAAATATCCCGTTTTGTACACAAGTGGATCGGGTTGTCATATTTGTGTAACTACTAATTTGAGGTAGCGGCAGCATATCAAAAGTTTATTTACCAATATGAACCAAAGGTAAATAAACGTTTAATATCCAAAGGGATTTGTATAACACGGTCTCATTGGCGTCATTAAACTACCACAGATTGGAATCGACCCTTAACTAACCATATCACATGTTAACTTCATTAAGCTGAACATGGATTATTTTGGGTCGGTATAAACAAAAACAATGTTAATAATAATACCGCATAACATAATACTAAATATTTTACTTATGGTATACTAAAATACTGGTATTATGAAAAATATTTTACTTTTAACGGGTAGAGAGTTATTTAAGGAACTTATAGGAACTTATATTTTTATACAACGGGAAAGAGAATTGCCATCTTTCAAATAAGGTTGAATTGCCTCGTTGACAGAGTGATCAAACCGTGTCAGCTATAGTAAAGGTACTATACACATGCTAATTTTAAATAGGAAAGCATGCTTTAACTGAGCATTTGTCCCGTAGTAGCATGTGTGTCGGAATGTTGTATAAAATTAACATGCTTGTTTCCGGCATGCTATATGCTTATGTTCGATTTTGAAACATTTTTGAGCATGCTCAATACAACGCCGTTTAGTATCTATGCTATTTTAGAACATGCATAACAGTGTCATTACATTCGACCTGTGCAAAAATTGAAGACGTGACGTACCTGATAAATAAGCTTTACGATATTCTTATTATACTCTGAGCTATAGATGACTGCCTCGTTGGCCGAGTGGTCGCAAGTGCGACTGCCGGGCAAGGGCCCGGATCGGGCAAAGTATTACTGGGTTTTTTAAACAAAACAATCTCAGTAGTAGAACGGAGTCTGGAATTGTGCCCGGTATATGGCAATAGGCTCACCCCCTATTACATGGGATTCATAACATAAATAGTGAAAAGTGGGTGTTACTTCTGTGTGCACCTCTGCCTACCCCTTCGGGGATAAAAAGGCGTGATGTTATGATGTTATGTAACTAAGAGTTTTAAAAATGATTGAACAACTGGAGAAGGAATTTGACGTGATTACTTTCTTTTGGCATCAGTACTCAACTGAGGCAGTCAAGGTGTAATTTACAAAGACTAACAAGAGTTCTTCGTACACAGTGCACAAAGCGGGGCCTGTCTGATTATGTGGACATTGGTGGCGCCAACGGACTCGATCACACTAAAATGGAGGTCCAAGATAGTGTGTGTGGACTTGATTCTAATGAAGGTAACTATTGTTTTGTTCATTAACTAATTAATTAAAATACGACAGCCATGGAGTTTATTTGCTCTAGAAATCTATACTTCGAAACAAAAAACTGATTGACAGACGGCGCATAAAATTCAAAATAAATGCTTTTTCTTTTTTATTTTCTTTCAAAAATGTTTTCTCATGTCATGTCGAATAATATCAATTGTTTTTGTCGACTTTGTTTCGTCTTTCGCATTTCATTTTATAGTACTTTGATGATTTTAGCAGTGCGCTTTATAATATGCACGACAATACAAAAATATATGTAAAATGCCAATATATAAGAATTGTTTTTATTATTATTTTATACGTACATATACGTAGTGTGTAACTTTGTATACAATATGGACTATTCTTTTCAATATTGAACGGAAGTAGTTTTCCCTAGTGGTCGTCTCAAAGAGATGTATAAAGATGTCGTTTGTAATAATAAAAAGAAAAAGATCTTTTATCCTTTGTATACGATGACAAAAGAACAAACGTGTTGACGAAATATTTAGAAGAAATCTTGATTAATCTTGATTAAAGACTTTTTTGTTTGGATTAAAATACATCTTATAGTAACTACTTAATACTTTAGTATAAATAGTTGGGTCTGATATCTCACTAATATGTCATTAAATGAATTACGTTAATGGAACGTGGAAGCAGGGCCGAGAATGAAGGAAAACATTGTACACGTGCCCTAGTGCTAATGCAGTTTCACGGCTTAATTATATTTACTGTAATGGACAAATATTCTTTAGCTTTTTACCTTGATTTAATATGCTTAAAGTAATATTTTACTAGATTATTATGGTTTTAGAAAATAATAATATAAGTATTCTGTGCATTTTTTTTAAACTAAGTAACCTTTTCTGGTATTAGAGCCAAAAAGGAGCTTTATTTACTGTTTTCTAATTAGTCCAAGGATTAATCGTTTCGTGAATTTCCCAAATTAAGTCTAAACGAAAGGGACCCGGATTACTTTTCTGGCAACTTTCACCTCATTGTTTTTGTTTTCCTCTATCAGAAACATTGGAAAGGCCGAAAACGGCTTATTGCAATGGCAAAAGGTTGTAAATGCAAATTTATGTTAAAATGTTGATTCGAAGTGTATTTTTTAGCTCGGCGTCCGGCGTTCATCGCTTGCGAGGACACTGTGGTCCGGCTGGTGTCCAGCGGCCGATACCACAACTCTGTCACCCTAGCCTTCGCCCCCCTCCCCCTCGAGGACATCGAACACGCTGACCTCATGTGCGGACTTAATGACCTGTAAATGAAACACGCGCTCTTCAATGTAGCCTCTCGACTTTGGCTTCAGTGACGATGTTTGAATCCTCCCTTAATTTATTTCACGTTCTGTGACGAGTTCAATCGTCAAAGCACGCGAAAAATTGTTAACTGACCGTTGATTTTTATGTTCCTTTTTTCGGTTTTAAATGCCGAAAGGATGTAGATAGAATAGAGATGAGACGCTGATGTTACCTATTGTCTATACAATATCACTACTTTATCGGTAGATTATCTGTATTAGAGAATATAAGTCCTAGATTATAGATTACTTAATCAATTTCTAATCGATGAATGTTTGAGTTGTAATGGACTTGCCTGTCATCTTAAGCTCAAACTTTGTGAAACAGTCTGTCTATGTTAGAGGTAAGTTGCACTAGTTAGTGTCGATACCAGATTAAGTAGGATCCTGTTCGGACGCGCGCTCGCATCGAATAAAGGGATCAGTAAACAATGGTTATAATTTAATACAAAGTGTAACTTATCCCTAATAGTATTGGCACCTTGTCGGATTAAATATAAGTTAATAATATTAGTAGATACCATCGCAACTTAATGTAGCATTAAGGAACTAATTGGTAATATTTTTTCTGTAATGTTACGTAGTTCGTGTGTTACCGAAATAAAATAAAAACGTTTATTACCAAATTCAGTATCAGTATCTAGTCAAGCATTAAGACGAACGCGTTAAATGTTAACGCTCTAGCTATTTGTCAATAAATAAATGTACATGTTGAATTGTTTTATTTTTTCACACCCATGACGTGGTTTTACCCAACCTATGCAAATTTCGTAATCATAAGTGAATATTGAGCCAAACTATAATAATAATTTTATTTGGCTTCTTCAAAATTACGTATAAAAAAAATCTGTGATTTATTAAAAAATGACTGCCTCGTTGGCCGAGTGGTTGCAAATGGACTGCCGGGCAAGGAGTCTTGGGTTCAATTCCCGGGTCGGACAAAGTACAAAATACAAAATAGTTTTTATTGTGTCAATAAGTACATTACATGTATTTTTTTAACTCTGTAATAGCACGAAATCTAGAATTGTGGCCGGTATATGGCAATAAGGCTCACCCCCTATTACATGGAACTCATAACATAAATAGTGAAAAGTGAATGTTACACTGTAGAGGTACAATGGCATTGAATGCCGTAATATCTGAGGACCCTTCGGGGATAAAAAGCGTGATATTATGTTATGTAATAAAAATGATGAATGGGACATCAAACACTCATATAATTCTCACCATGTTATATTCCCCTTGTACATTTCCTGTATTATAACCTACAATGGAAACCATATACATTTTTAGTGGGAGTATCATATTCTAAGCAATAACTTTAATTGATATCACTATAATAATAATAGCCTTTATTTCAGATCGACATAGCTTAACCTAATAACACTATTTTAGAGCAAATATAAAACTTAGAGTAAAAATATAAACTTATTCTAGTATTTGCTGCTTTTTTATTTTCTGCAGATCTGTTTGCCAATCGGCAAAGGCCTCCTCCAACCTTTTCCATTCAGTTCTTTCTAGAGCCACTCTGTTCCACATCACTCCTGCCACTTCTCTTATATCGTCGTCCCACCTTTTCTGCGGTCTGCCTCTTTTCCTCTTGCCTTCCCTTGGATACCACTTTGTCACCTTCTTACTCCATTTATCATGACCTCTTATTGTATGCCCTGCCCATCTCCATTTGAGTCTTTTAATTTTCTGTACTACATCTATGGTTCTTGTCTTTTTTCTTATGACACTGTATTTCAGTCTGTCTGATCTTTTGACATTCAGCATGCTCCTCTCGATAGCATGTTGGCAAGTTGCTAGTCTGTTAGTCATTTCCCGGGTTAAAGTCCATGATTGGCAGCCATACATAAGGACGGGTAATATGCAGGTGTTAAATAGTTTACCTTTAATGTTATTATGAAGTTGTTTGTCTTTCATGGCCTCCTTTAAACTCCAGTATCTTCTCCAGCTATTCGCAATTCTTCTATTCACTTCCTCGCGCATAGGTTCTTTGTGAGTTATGAGTTGTCCCAGATAGATGTATTCGTCAGTGTAGTTGACTTCGGTGTTTCCTATCTTTATCTCAGTTTTCTCTCCGTTTGTCATCATTCTAGTCTTTTCTGGATTAAGTTTTAGCCCTACTCGCTCACTTTCTGTCGCAAGTTCTTCTATCATTTTAGTGATCTCTTCGGGTGATTTGGCGAATAGCACTATGTCATCAGCGAATCTTAAGTGCGTCAGTGATGTGCCATCTACATTGATCCCAAAATTTTCCCAAGTGAGTTTTCTAAAGATTGATTCCAGTACAGCTGAGAATAGTTTTGGGGATAGCGGATCTCCTTGTCTAACGCCTTTTCCTACTTTGAACGGCTGGCTTTTCTTTTCTAACTGTATTCTGGCTGTAATATGACTGTATACGTTTCTTATGAGTCTTATGTATTTGTGTTCAATGCCTTGTTCCACTAATGCTTCCCATATATTTTTATGTAAAAGAGAGTCAAATGCTTTACTGTAGTCGATAAAGGAAATGTAATATTTCAGCTGGTATTCGCTGTATTTCTCGACGACTTGACGAACCACATGGATGTGGTCGATCACCGAGTAATCCTTACGAAATCCTGCCTGCTCGATGGGTTGGTGCTCGTCTAACGTTCTTTCAATGCGTTTTAGTATGATCTTGGCAAATTGGATATCACTAAGCAATGTATACTAATTGAAGGATCCTAATACCTTGTTTACTTAACTACACATTTTTGTATTAAAAACTATCTGCGATAATCTTATCCTTCATAATGTTAGGACAGAACGTAGCCGCGAAAGCCGCGAAGAACTTAACGGGTTGCCGGGGCTCCGGCTCGAAATGCAGGAGTAGGAACGGGGTGGTTTTAGTCAGTAAGAGTCAGACACTCCCTCCCGCCTCACCTAGGCGGGAGAAGTCATTCGATGATTGTAACCCCTTAAAAAAAACCTAATATACATTTACAATCTTGCACTCTGATACACACTGTTTTCGCATCAACGACGACTACGTTACGATACTGCTACGACACTACTACGGGACGGCTACGACTGCTACGACATTGCTACGAGGCTGCTACAAGATTACTGTAATTTCAAATTATGTACACCTAGAGGTGTATATATCGAGTATTTGTGTGCGAAAGTAAAGAAATCGTTAAAATTACTATTTAAAATGTCAAGCTTGTCTATTTGTTCGTTAGTTATTCATGGAACAGTTACGATAAACGGCATCTACTGACTTGATATAAAACGTGCTGGTCTGTTCGTTTCATAAATATATACTCATGGGACACGGGTAGAGGGTATTGAGACTGTCCCTAATATTGTTCACGAAACATAGATGGCGCTGATAGTTAAATTATGTGTTGGACGTAGTAAATCAAGTAGGTTTAGACAATTTTTGCCTGTATTTTTGGACAATTATATAGGATTTTTATAAACATGTAGGAAAATATGTTAAAATAAAAAACAAACTTTTTAATTAAATTTTATTGAGTAATTTTTTGGATAGAGATAATAAACAAATAGTACTTATTTAAAAGCAATATATAAGACTATTGTGTAACAGTATTCGGACAAAAATAGTTTATTCCGCTACAGTGAAATAAATATTCGTGCAACTGTACAAACGAATTTACTTTAATAATAAAAATATACTAAATATATCGACATTCAAAATCTAGTACAATAATAACTAATGTTGATAGTAATTTTAGCGTAATATTATATAAACCTGTGAAGGAAATCAAGTCATACAACTAATTTTTTTTCCTCTACTGAAAGCATTGATAGCACACGACACTGGATATAACATATAAAACACATATTGTCGACGTCATCTGCAATTTAGTTTTAGATAAAACGAATGTGCACACTCATATATACACACATTAAATTAGCACCTAATTTGTAAAGCAATAACTACTATTATCGTTTGCATAACAGATGTAAGCTTACACAAATAACATTTAACATTTAACTTATCTAACAAATAATACCATTTTAGATTTTCTCTAATTGACTACACATTTAAGAGCTGTTTTACATACATACATTGTTTACGCATATATTTTGATTATTTAGTATGGATAATCTGCCTACATAGTCACAATTGCAGAGAGAAAATAAGATAGTCCAGTTAGTTACGTAAAATTCTAATGGCAATCACATCAATACTAAGACTTACGTACTAAACTATACACTACGCCTAATGAGTAGGTTATATAACAAATATATACCAACGGTACGTATTGATATCGTCTCGTACAGCGATAGTATGCAGGACTAATCTTACCTTTACCATAACATAGATCTATAAGTGTGGAAATCAAATTTTAGGCCTGTTAAAAAAATAAAGTAAAATGTTTCGTAATACATGTATTATTATTGTGTATTTATTTTGTTTGTTACAATAGATATGTTGACATTTTTTTTTAAATCAGCCCAATAATTTGATTTGCAGGTAAAAAAAACAGATTGATTCATTGTAGAACATCCACAGAGCAATCATCGGTACTTACTGAGTCAAGCAATCGTGGTTGTACAACGCTTAGCTTCGTGTACATACGATTTACTATAACGAGAGCTGAATAAATCTTTATTTTGTTACTTACGTACCAAATTACTAGGCTGGCTTTGTTTTAATTATAATTAAACTTTTTATGTGACCAAACTGTCAGATAGGCAGTCAATAGTATATAACAGTGGAATTAACGTTCGCAAAAAGATCATATAAAATAGTCAAGGCTGATTGCACGTACTATAAGTTTGACACAAGTAAGTAACAAGAATTCCTTATAATAAATAGATTTCGAATAATATCCAAAAGATAACTGTATTAAAATTAAGTGCAATATTCCTTTTATTTTAATAACCGTGAACGTAACGTATCAACTATTTAATAATATAACTACAAAATATATAATGTCTGTATTTAGTTTTACATTTGTTGAAGCATTATTACAACATGATTTAAATTAAAATTTTGGTTAAAACTGATCTTAACATTATTTGAAATTGCTACTTATAATACATTTCTTATTTAGATCACTTTACATCTTATTCTTACTAATTAAAGCTATCCCATACAACTTCTCAAATTGTGCTTAATTCAACAAGAAAGCGAGTGTTGTGCATCTTTGCCAATGTTACAATAAACTCTATATTCTTTAGGGAATACAGTTAAATTTTGTATAAAAAGTCCGTTGTTAAATTATAAAACTACTTCGTGCTCACAAAAGGGGGAATACCGTGTTTCAAGGACAGTTTTAAATATGAGGAAAGGTGAAAATAGATACAATTTAGTACTAAATCAATACTTTTCTTGACGTTTTGAGTAAGCATGGCCACTTTCTTTCAATACTCCCGCCGCCTTCCAATTTGTTCAAGGATAGTAATTGACGATCGCATAGGTATAAATATTTGATTACCGCTAACGTTTTTTTAGTACAAATATAATGTTAAAAGTATAAAAATTGTTACTAAGTTCATAAGATATTTTTTCACTTAAAGCGTTATTAAGCTACGAATTACGTACTGTTTCGGAATTCACTGCTATTGTGAAGACGAATAGACACCTGTATATAATTTCCTCATAAATATATTTGATATGTATGTTTACATTAATGATATGTATACGATTTCGATAGTGTCAAGAGAAAATGTACTCAACCGTGTTAAGAAACAAGTGTCAGAATCATGTGACTTAATTGTACTAAATTGATTTACGGTATCTTGTGCTTTGCCTATCAAATACAATAAGTAAGGTACACATAAGTCTACTCAGCGTTCAGAATATCGCATCTATACTAAAGAAGGGAATATTCACAAAATATACTATTATCTGTTCGAAGTCATAAGAATTTGGAGTTCATAAGATCCTCAAGTGGTACGAATATTAGCGTCCTAAATACAATAGTAGTAAATATATTGATAAAAATTCATCTCACAGTATACACTCGACTTCTATATTACCATTAAATATATAAAATCGTAAAATTTTGCTACGAATAAGTTGTCATTTTGCTATTTAAGCAGAGGCACACTTTGATATGTATAGTGATTTATCAAACTGTCGTGTGTGAAAGCTTCGCTTTAACAATGAAAGCCGACGTACAAGTACTTTCTCTAAGTATAATAATAAATTATTTAATACGCATAGGTATTATAATAATCCGCCGACATTTATATAATAATATTCATACTCATAACATGGAATACACATTAACTAAATACATGAAACATCAAACATACGAAACAACTAGTTACAGGAACATTGTAACTAAATTATTTAACATTCAACATACTTTTTCTACAATATTATTAGGTATAATACAAGAAAAGAAATATAACATCTTCTAAATAACGTCCTTCTTCATAATCTCGTACAAATTCACATCACGATTTCACTTTTTAAAAGTTCCTTTTCAAAATTTTCTATCCATTGTCCTTATCTTTCGTTTCACGTTCCACACGCCAGTGATATGTAAGATTTCGATAAAATATATTTAATTAATACAACAATTACCTCTAGTACTTTAGTAGCAAATATTAAAATTCGAAACGCCTTTTGCTGACTCGCCTAGATCTTCACAAATAAGTATAAAATATCAATTTTCTTGAGACAATTTGATACATGATTTTATGACATTATCGCAATGAAACTCATATTTTATAATTATTTGTGAGGGAAAACATTAATTTGCATTGTTATTGTTCTAGTTTGTATAAATATTTTTTCTACTCTTTTCCTAATGCTTAAATATTCGCTTGAATCATTCAAGCGGTGATATGCTGCGTTTACAACGCGACGGTTGTGGCAAGCGTTGTCAGCAGCACTATGGGTAGTGTGGTGCCAGCTACGCTGCTGTATGGCCCTGTCACAGCTCCATCGCACGGCATGTGCTCCAATTCTGGAGAAGAAAAATTAATGGTTAGAAGGTAAAGATTAATAAAATAGTAGGTACAAAAATAGAGGCCATAACAAGAATTTATAATTAGGAACTTTTAGAATTAAATATGTTGTTTACTATAGTGAAAAAGTTATTTTAGTCTATGTGAAATTTTAAGTCATAAGTTGTCAATAGAATGTATATTATTTTACTCGTCAGTACAGTTTATCCCGTCCCTACAAAATGACAACCAACTATACTGTAATTTAATAGTTACTACCCGTAATTTAATAGTTACGTAGTTTCAGACGTCTATTGTTAAGTCTAAGTGAATAATAAAACTTGGGCTACTTTTAACAAAGTCAAAGTGACAGCTAGTTAAAGTTTTAATGCAATAAAAGTGGGATTTTGCTACTGCCAGACGGATTTAAGCCGTTAAGTGGGGTCTTGCATCTTTGGTTGTTTGTTCGATGATTTGTAACCTTTCAAGATAAGTGGCAAGGGATTATTTAAAGTTATCAGGATAAAATTTAGTTTTAAACTCGTATGTATATGTATCTCTATAAACAAAAAATGTACACTTATGTTAAAAAACGTTTTTAGTCGTCTGGCACTCCCAACTACCTCATCTAGGCGGGAGAAATCATTCGATGATTGTCCAACCTTTAAAAAATATAATACTTTACTACTTTTACAAAATTATACTTAAAAAATAAAATTGCGGGTTAATCACGTGAATATACTGAGAAAAGCTCAGCTCTACTAGGTTCGAACCACATAGGGGTTCTTCCTCATGAGCAACAACGTCGCGCAGCTCACAGTGCCCTCTGTGGTTCGAAACTAGTAGAACATTTCTCAGTATATTCACGTGATTAACCCGCAATTTTAAGTAATTTAGTGTGTCTCACAATAGTTATTATAAAAACATAATATAAAATCTTTAAATTTGAAATCTTTGAGAACATAATGCAACTTCTTTACACACAGGAAAAACAACCACAAAAATATTAAAGAAAAAAAGGTTTTTATCGAATCTATGTTCGTAGCATCACAAGTTGAAATCGTTGGCACAAGTATGTAAATGTAAATCAATGTTTAATGTTTTACTGAGGTTGAAATCCCTTTCCACTCTCATTTCCCAGGAGACTCCCCCGGAAAGTAAAAAAGGGATAATAATATATGCACATGACATTTGTGTCACGAAATCCTTGAGACAGTAGTAGGCCAAGGATGGAGCCATTTGTAATGGTGGTAACAAAGTGGCGTTTCCTCGGAAGCGAATGATATTGTAATTACATCGATCGCTTTCAAGGTCAGATTGTATCACGCAGATTTATTGTTCGTTTCACTAACAATAGGCATTGGAGGATTGCAAAAATTTGCTAATTTTTTTTTTGTTTTTTGATTATTCTCAAAAGTGTGACTATGTCAGATCATTAGATTTTGCGTTCTGACAAAAAAAAACTGTAACTGTCATCACGATCATTTAACTGTTCATGTGACTAAGCATTTAGTATGAGTATCGAGACATATTCAAACAGAGTTGTTGGATGATTTAACAAGAATTAGTCACTGATTTTATATATATTTTTGCGTTTTATAGTCTCTACCTAGCCCCATGAGAGACAGGCGTGAACTTATGTATGTATGTATGTATGTGTATTATAATTGTTAATAATATTATAACACAAAACAAGGTCTTCCATACCATTGAGCTTGTTGAGGAAGTCATTCCAGAAAGCGCAGGCGGAGGCTCGAGGTCCTCGAGGTCCAGCCGGTCCGCTAGTACCATCCGCAGTGTATGTGTAGTAGTGAGGCGACGAACGAGAATACAGCGGCCATTTCTCATCAGGCTTATGTGGCTTACTGGAATTTATGAGAAGATCCATATTAGTGACAACGTTGACCATAATTTTATCTGTTTTATTTTGTTGTAGGTAACAGGTTTGCTTATATAACATAATAATAAATACCTAACTATAATACGAAATAGTAAAAAAACGTTAGCTGGTTTGTAAACATTAAAAAATATTTTTTTTGTTGGTCACAGAGTAATGTTTTATTTTTTATTTTCAGTGATGAGTAATTTTATTGCACACTCGATTTACTTAAAACTCTATGACATACGTAACATGCTGTAATCCTACAAAGCACCAGGTAAAAATCTCTTGGTCAATAATAATCTACGTAAACATTTCCCGAACACAGATCCAATTAAAAGTAGACGTCCTTTGTTCCCAAGTAAATTGACAGCCTTATAAAAAATACATTAATAAGGATTCTGACCTAACCTAGTTTCCCCCATTTCTACCTAGAAGAAAACTATGTCACTGATTGTACGGCCCTCGAGCAATATCAGTTACGACAGTGAACAGCAAAATCGATTCTTCAAGATTGTCAAAGAAAAAACCAGGTAATTCGATGCCCATACTGAAATAACACAAACAAATCGAGTGCCAAAAATAGAATCAATTTATTCACGATAAAGAAAATCTATAAAAATAGATTCTATCTTTGTTGTAACGCAAATTGTGAATGGATGTTTTTTAGGAATTATGAGTGTAAGATGATACTATTAGGCTTTTTTATCGCCTAAGGGAAGAACAGAGGTGTACAATACACCCACTTTAGTTGTAAGTGGGTACAAATTCAAATTATGTTATTGAAGTAACTTAACACTTATCTTCAAATTAGTAACTTAGGAAGTGATGCTTATAACTTATATTTCAAATTCATTCATCATAAATACGTAGTACGCTCGTACATACACTTAAATCAAAATGATACATATTTTTATATAACACAATACGTATTTGACATAAATCGGTAAATAATATCGAAAATTAACAATGGTACTTTGCGTTTCAGAAATCTTTATTGACGGTAAACTCCACTCATTATTTATCTAGACCGTAACCTAGTCACATATCGTAGTAGACATAGACAACTCGACTTAAAAATTCAGATCAATATTTCAAGACTTAAAATAGTCAGTTATAGACTGAGTTTTAATATAGATATTTCTGTCGTCTATACAGATAAATAAAATTGGAGTGTCTTTTACTGAATATGAATATTTTTTACAATTTTTATCCGACTGTCTGTTTGTACAGGTTAATATCTGGAATGGCTGAACCAATTCTAAAAGACTTTTACTGGTAGGTAGCTGATGTACTAAGGGGTAACATATAGGCTAATTTTATTATTTTGAAAACAAGGAACAAAAAAAAGTTATGTTCTAAAATTCATATTCTACGCGGACCAAGCCGAGGGCAACAGCTAGTTTAGAATACACTCAATAGGCTGACATTTGAACATGTATTGGGGAAGTTTGAACAATTTGGCCTACATCTCAAGGATAATCAAGCTCTGATTAACACCCCCATTAAATTGAAGTTCAGGGCACAAGGGGAGAATCGGGAAACTTGATAAATCAATAGCTCTATAATTAATTCATTGATTCAGTTTGATCACTGACAAATTTGCTTTGGGGAAGTGCTAATTAGTTCTACGAGCTAAATACTTGATTAATAAATGCTACCAGTATTTATTTTAGAAGTAGAATGGGATCTCAGATTCTCCACGCGGTACTTATGTATTTTAACAGGAACAATTTGTGTTTTAAACTGTAAACGAATTGTGTATCTATTATAACTTTAGCATACATCAATAGAAAACATTGAGGCTATCCATATTTTTTGGGAAATGTAGTTAAAATATAATGTTTGTCTTAACAGTTTACTACAACTGCAAGTCAAACAGAATTGGAACTTCTCTAGGCAATATTTACTCACCCAGTTAGTGCGAATCTGGTGAAAGACTGCATGATGTGAGCAGCCAGGTCTCTCTCCCTGGTGTGGTACTGAAGAGACATGTTCAATGGATGCCCGAAGACGTATTCCATCTCATCGCCATGCATCACGCCCATCCATTCGCCCCACAAACTCGTGCTGGTACGCTAGAAGAAGAAAATTCAAAACATGCAATAAATACCACCACCAATAACGAAAATAGAGAATGCCACCCGACATTAGGTCTGCCATCGTATGTTATATACAGAAGTGTAAATGAATAAAAAAATAAAATAAGGAAAAAAATAGAATGGATGCACTGAAATTAACGAGAATCTTATTCACTTCAAACTTGGAGTTCTGCTTAATGATGGCGTTAATCAAAATAATATGGTCGCAGACAGGCATTCACGTACTTAAGCAGCGTTTGTTTAAAATCGAATATCAGACAAATAATGCCGAATTTAATCATTTTATTTGTAATTTGTAAAATACATTCTTAACCGGATTCACGTAAAAGTACCGATTTAATTAAACTTTAACAAAATAAAGGGCTTGAGTAAAATGATGAACATCAAAGTCAAGTCATACATATTCATAAAGTTGCAAACACCCTTTCACCTAAAACTCATGAGACAGTCATAAAAGCGTCTTATGTGGTTTAAAATCTTAGAACGTCATTATTCGATAAGAAGACTGAAATGTTTCCTTTATTATTAATTCAATTTTAGACACACAGATACATTTCAACCTCAAAAAGAATCTAGAATATTCTCCCAGGCCACAAAAAGTGCTTAACCTGATTTAATCGTTTGAGATTCAATTGAGAATTCTTTCTTTAGAGGACTGTTGTAGGTTTCAAAAAAACAAGTTAACTTTTCTGAATATCGATTTATATCGAATGGAATTAAAGATATATTTCACCTCTTAACTTTATTGAAAGGTTGAGGCTATCATTTACGAGCATCATGCATCTTTCAATGCAGTTTTTATAGCTCTTAACTGACTGTAAGGGGAAAACACGTACACACGTGATCACGTGTAAAGTGATGAGAAATACATTCAAGTATATTGGTAAATATTTTATTGCGAAAATGTTGTGTGACTTCGGAAGCGGAAGAAGGAAAAGCCGAATAAATATTTTATAGTATTTTGTAATCGATTTTGAGAAGTTTTATCGAAAATTATTTAGAAAACTATTAAAAACATTGAGTTGAAATTAAATGAAATGATATTTCTTTCTGCAAATAGGTTACAAAGGCAATAGGCCAGCATTTCTTAACTGACTACTCTGAGAAGAAACGCCGAAACAAACTCAAATTAGATGTATGCTACGGTATAATGAGTGTAGAAGACAGAGGGTCGGCTTCCGAGGGATTTGGAGAAACAACACAAACACCACTGTTTCTTCACTTCTTTTTTCCTGCTAGGGGCGCTGGTTGTACTCGACAACGTCACATTTGACGAGGAACCTAACCAAATTAATGTAACGAAACCATAACGCGATCTATCTCGATATATAGGCCATCTATCGAGCGACGCGACAACTTTGAATAATAATAATTGTTTTATTATTACATTTTGATCGCGCTCTAAACAATGAGACAGTTATATGTGCCTGTATTGTCAACGTACAACATTTGTAATATTTTTGTAATGAACTTGAAATTGAACTACAAACTGCTACAATACATAGATATATCTGCCAATAGAATAGATGACTAATTTTTTATTTAATGTCTGTCTGGTAGATTATTTAAAATCATTAAACACATATTTTTTATTTTCTTACGGAAACTAATAGCTTCGAAGATATGTACCTATATTGATTTGAAATATCGCATGACGTCACTTTTGAGTACGATTTATACTCTAAAATGACGTAGCTACCTCCGACTCCTTAACTTTTATCTAAGTATTGTTTTCTTATATGACAAAATAAAAAATGCGTGTCTAACTAATATTTTGTCATTACCTAACTGACGGACTAATTCGATTTTTAATTTTCTTACCCTTTCATCATCCCTATCCGTACAGAGTATCAGATTTATAACAAATACGCAGAATATACTACTACTACTATTGTAAACAGTGAGTAAATTAGCCTCTGTTTGCAACATTGTTTATGTACAAACCTAAACTGAACTGCAAATTGCTAATTTTGAACTTAACGTCGAAGTCGTGAAAGCGCCGAGTTTAGATTGAGCCCTAATTGTGTTCCAGGCAAAACCGCAAGGTGGTTTCATTTGTCCGTACCATGGGGCGATGTTGCAACATTGTTTTGATCGCATTCTGATTTTCGTAAATGAATTGAAATGTTAATTGAATGAGAATTTATTGTAGGGGTTATTAAATTAAGACTTTGATGTTGTGAAATTGTTTTTGAAATTCATACCTTTTTCTCGCTCTAAGAATGCCAAAGCCCTCTAAGAATGCCACATAGAACCGTTGTCAGTAAATAAACTTATGCAGATACTGTGATTTTCTCACGGAATTTTACTTAAATCACGTTTGATGACGCAATCAATCAAAAATGAGCTTGACATAATATTTTGTCATGATACAAAACAGATATTCTAACAAACTTGATTGTTTAACGAACTTTAAGAAAATATCGTAGGCGGATTAATAAGATATTCCGTAATATTAATTTTGCGCAGGTTCATCCAAAAATAAGTGCTAGTTAACTATAAGACAAAGTAACCAACGAAGAAACAATACCTTAACTTTATGTAAGCCTTTCTTAAATCATCAATTAAAACGCGAAGTCTCAAGCAGCGTGGGCGATTATGAATGAAATAATGAAAACAAAATCCAATTTCTCGATAATTCTTATAACGCGTGGGTGTACTAGAATTGTACTATAAGTACTTTCTTTGATTTTTATTTCATTCATTACCTAACTTAATTTATTCATTTCAGTGATTCCATTTAAGATAGCGGCGTTGTTTAGAACGCTACCTTTGTTACAGGATTCAATACCTAAATTATGTCTGTGAATGTCCACTAATCAACTAAGAATTTTATTCGGTTTCATAATATAATCTATATGCTTAGCAGGTGAGATGGAAATTGCAATATAAACTGAGAATAACTGGGTTTGGGTTTAACAGAGAGCTCTGCCTGCGGCCCGGTTGTGCTAAAGAAATGTGTACATGTGTAGTTGGCTCTTCAGACACCAGTGGAAAGGGCAGAGATATGACAAATGTATTCTACCGTCACTTTATGGTCCTTCTATATATATATTTATAATGGGATAAGCCGGTGAACGGGCAGACGGATCGCCTGATGGTAAGCAATCGGCGTCGCCCACGGACACCTGGAACACCAAAGGCGTTAAACGTACGTTATAGGCCTTTTGGGAATTAGGAGTTTGAGGATTGTTGGGGATTCAGGGATTGCAGAGATTGGGGGAAGGCAGAGGGGGATAATTGGGCCTCCAGTAACCTCTTTCATACGACGAAACACTACCCAAGCGTTGCTTTCTGTGAGGCCGTGGTATCACTCCGGTCGAGCCGGGCCATTCGTACCAAAGCATTGCTCTCCCACACTTTGTATGATATAGATACACATATAGTAAAAACCTTACAATGTTTAACGATTTTCTACGCGCACGGTATCGGAAGAACTTCACTAGGTCGATGACCCTGTATCTTAGCTACGACGAACGGTAGCTACACCCACACATGATTAAAGTGTCATTTTCATTATACCGTATTTCATATCTTGCATGTAGGCTTCTGTGTAATGAATATCTGTTCTAAGCAGAATGTTTAATGTATTTAAACATTAAAATCTAGAGATAATCCAAAATATTATCACATTTTGTTCACGGTATACCGCGTAGTGACAATTAGACTAACATTTGCGTCCATTATAGCACTTTCTATAGCTTGCATTACTTTTAAATTATATTGTCAAACTCATATGCAAATCATGGAGATTAATAAACCCGTTTATATAGAAGAGGTTCTAGTAGCAAATAATAGTCACGAGTTTTTGACAATGAATGTTAGAATTTCACCAATAAATTACCTTAAACGAGCAAGATCACTATTAGCTCATTGAACCAAAAAGGAATTATTGCATCAAAACAGAGCTTTAATGATACAAAAAGCAACACTAATTAATTATTTACTGTCTAACCGACCGCCGGTAACTAATTTGTGCTGATATGCGCCGCGAATGCGATTCAGTTTAAATTACGCTAAATCCGTATTTTCATTTTAGTGCATGGTAATAGGTTTAAATGGTTCCGTTATTAATACATTGGAATTTTCAGTTTGACGTTCTAGTTTTACTTACTTATTATTGTTTAATTTATTACAATACACTACATTCTCATCAAATGTTAATTTGTCACCCTACGTATCAGGTTCAGTACCAGCTTCTTATTTTCATAGCTTTTAAAATTTGTATAGCTGACTTACAAAAAAGTGAACTCTTAGTGATCAGTTTCAATAATTCAATTGTTATTTAGATTATGATATGACTGCACGGTTGGCGCGGTGGCTAGGCAACTGGCTGCCACGCAACGTGTCGCGGGTTCGATTCCCGCGCGGAACAATTCTTTGTGTGATCCACAGATTATTGTTCCGGGTCTGGGTGTCATGTGTAAACGCGAACTTGCATGTTTGTAAACGCACCCACGACACAGGAGAAAATAGAATGTGGGGCAATGTTTTAAAAAAAAAATAAGTTAACTTAAAATCGCGGGTTACTCACGTGAATATACTAAGAAAAACTCTACTAGTTTCACACCACAGATGGGTTCTTCCTCATGAGCAGCATGAGTGATGTCACGCACGCTAGTATTTCTCACGATAGTTATTATAAAAACAAATTTAAGTTCAGTATACAAATAAGTAGTCGCCTTTGCATCAATCGTCATCATGAAACGCAAACACATTTTTGGTCTAAGTACCTATTTAATACAAAAAAACATGACATCAAATTATGCGAATACCTACCAGCTGTGAATAACACATACCTGTGTAACTAAACATATCTTTTACGACCTTAAACATTCCTACACTATTATTTTAGTCTAAAATAACATGAGGTGTTTGTAAAGGCACTTTGAATGGTCAAAATTAACGCATGACTTTAAACAAGTGATATTATCGCTACTATTGTTTTTAAGGGGTTAATAATTCTTGTGGTAGGT